CAGCCTGGTGTCAGGGCGCCTCAGGTGGCTTTAATTATACAGTTGCACATACCAAACGACCTCAGTGCAGCCAGTCTGTGGCCGAAACCATTCGGAACAGACTTCAACGAAAAGTGAGACAAGGTTAGTGCTATCGTTAAGTGCCATTATAGACTTGGGCCCCGTTGGCTTGACCCACTGGAAGGTGGTAGTTATCGGACGCTGCGGGGCATACTCATTTTTCCAAAATGCCTTAGATTTTGCTTTCGTGATCATAGGCGGCGGAACGGGGAGGGCACCGGGGCACCGTGCCCCCTTTGATTTTGGCATTTTGACGTAAGCCCTATGGGCGTTGCATGGAAAGAATGGGACCAAAAGTCGGCAGTGCCCCCCCCCCCCCTCCACCCTTAATTGAAGGTGTTCCGCCGCTATACTATTCGTGTTTGATGCTCTTTATTCTACATTATTTCTTTATACCGTCTTTATTCTACATTTATTCTGTATAGTCAGCCTTTAGACAGAGGGGGAGGGGCACTAATGATCAGTGCCCTAACCCTCAAAAGTTTCCATCATTAATTTTTACTTTTAGTGAAAACTTAAATAAAGCGGATTCTGAACTGTGAACATCCCGTTTTAACACTGGCCCCACACAAGCCTCCGAATGCCCAAAGCGGATCTATGATGACTGGCCTTTGGGTGCCATACCATACCGTGCATTGGTCAATGTGGTCAATGCGTACGACCGTGGCTTATTATGAGCGCTCATCAGTCCTAACTACCCGCAAGCGAATGGCTAGCCCTTCCGTCTCCGCTCGCTTGCGATTTGGCGTTTATGTACATAGGTACAAAATAGCGGCAAACGACCACTGAAGGTATGAGTTGCGTCTCTTGCACACTTAAAATATCTCTAAATCGAATCTAAAAAGACAAAAAATGATATGAAGCGGAAATGGTTAGCATTTACACATATTCAAAAGGCACCGTTGGACAAACTGTAGGAGCGCATAGCTGCAATATCAGGTTATGGAAATTTTCCCCATGTTTAGGGCACAAATTATGGAGGGGCAAGAATATACGTTTGCCCCTCCTCCAAAAGTTTCTTAGAGGACGATGCCTCCTCTGCCACCCCGTATCTGTCGCCTCTGTAAGAGGTCACTGAAGGCCTGGGTTGCCGCTGCGTCACGTTGACGCTTATAATGCCTCCAAAACTAGGTTGAAGAGAGGAAAACTTCAATTGAACGCGAACGCTTGCCATTTAAGAAAGGCAACGCATGAAAGTATATGGGCATCTGGTTACATCTTCAGATGATCGAACAGAATAATCAGGTATATGGTTTCTTGTCTAAGCTTTGTCACAAATTATGGGGGGGCAAAAAGATACTTTTGCCCCCCCACGATTTTGCCAGGGGGGGCAGCTGCCCCCCCTGCCCCCCCGAATCCGCCGCCCCTGGTCCTGCATCATTATTATTCTCGTAAATTCCGACTGTCAAAAAACCTGGACGCCGCTCTTGCTGTAACTGCTTGGCAGTTGTGTCATTGCCCACTAAAACCAAATCAAACACTCTTGTCGGAATAAACTGACTTAAAAGAAAAATCCGTTATACGGTATAGGACGACCAATAAACAAAAACAAAACAAAACAATCAACAACGCGTCGTTTCACATGGTATGAGAAAAGCATCACGCTTAGGACACATTGGTCACTGCACATTCCCTCCGCTAGTGATAATTCCCTTCGCGTTGATGTTGCACTTAATTGAACATGTAGAAACCATCCATATGACAAACTGCAAGGACGACTGGCGACTGGCGCTTACCTTTGGTGACGAATTCCTTCAGAGAGCCAGCCACCATGCCCAGTTTGTTGTTGCGGTGAACGTCCCAGAGCTTGAGGGGTTTTCGGGTGCCAGCCGTGTCGGAGGAGATGGACGTGTCGTCACTCATGTCGACAGCGGCCTCGGACTGGGCCGCCTGAGAACAGACGTAACGGGCGTCACAGTATGTACACTACAGGCCTCGCGGGTTTTAATGGTAGGTTTTGCACCTAGAAAATTTAGTGTACTTCAAGCTATATCTTCGTCGTCTTAGCGTTTAAGTGTTGAAGATGCGATCGACTTGTTGGGTAACAAGCCGGCCATGATCGTGTAAAATGGCTTCATCGCAGATCGATTAGTTTCTGAGATATAACCGGAAACGTAAAAGTGCAAAACCTACCGCTTAATCTCGCGAGAGCCGTACAACTCGCACAGACCCTGTGTTGAAGTCTGGTAGGTATGGGAGATGCTATAACAGCGTCATGGGTGGTTGATAAGTTACGTGTTCAGGCGAGCGTTTTCGAAATATATGACTGGCTTCCATAAATGACTGCTTCCATGGCTTCCTATAAAAAAAATTGGAGGAGACTCTTGAAAGCTTTAGCGTTTTAATTCTACTCGAAACGTACGTCGGCGCGGCGCATAATGCTAGAAGAGTAAAAACCGTACATATGTAATGCTTAGCTGACACTTATTACGGCTACTTATGCATTATATTTGGCTATCATTCGTCAGCGTTAGTTTGTGCGACATGTTTGTAAACAAGCGCCGTGGATGTAAGTATGCATAATGCGTTATTCATAGACTTGTAGTGATGTGCTTCGGGAGGGGCTGGTTGACGTTTGACAAGTTACTTAACCCGTGCACCGACGGGGGGGGGGGGCGGATAACCGCCCCCCCCCCCTGAGGTTTTTCGCGGATAGCGGGAAAACCGTCGCGAAATTTGGTACGACTATTCTCTCATCAATTTTGTACATGGTGTGCAAGTTTGAACCTCCTAACTTTCAAGGTCAGGTCACCAGGTCACTTTGAATGACCCAACCTCAAGTCACTTTTTTGCAACTTTGTCACCGTGCCAGAGCTACAGTAGATGTCGGAGGCCTTTGAAAGTCGCAGGATGTTATAAGGTCATTAGTAGCTACAATTTGCATATCTCGGAATTTTGATGTCGGTGACCTAAGGTCAGGTCAATTTCGCGACCTTCCCATTATAAGTCAATGGGGGAAAAATCAACTCCCTGTTTTTACCACTAAAACGGGTCGGAATGGCCCCATATACCATACATGACTTCATATACGATCAACCTTTACTACCTTGAGGTCTGTTTTGCTGTTGGGCAGCTGTAAGGTCATGTGACGTCATCAAAGGTCACCAGCGGTTTTTTTGCCAATAACTCCGTACAGGAACAAGATACAGCCGCGCGGATGGTCTCATTGTGTTCAGCTCGTCAAGACGCATCGAATGATATACATGATGACCTCGAGGTCACGTGACCTGAGGTCAACCTTTGACCTTGACCTTTCGAGGTCAACATATATATCATTCGATGCGGATTGACGAGAGGATCACGATGATGCCCTTAGTTTGTTCCTATCTTGACTAATTCGAAAGTTATTCGAGAAAAACTCTCTCCATATCTAGCGCCGCCATTTTGACTTTTTCGACCCCTGTGACGTCATCTTTGACCTGACCTGAAAATGACCTTAGTAAAAATTGTAGACCTTGTCCGTGCGTATCCGATGCCGTTTACCGCTTGTCGCTATCTTGCTTCGTTCTCGAGATCTCAGGGGGGGGGCGGTCATCCGCCCCCCCCCCCCCCCGTCGGTGCGAAGTTGGCGCAGACCCCCGTCGGTGCGCGGGTTAAGTGAGTGACTACGTTATTGAGTAAAGCGGGTAACTCGAAGCCACTGTAAATCACTTGGTGAGGCTCAAAAACATTATCACAGTTGATTTTCAATGATTGCCTTTTTCATAAAACACGGAATATACACCTAGTAGAGATTGCAGTCCCGGAACGTTTTGCCAATCCCGGGATCCCGAAAGTTTTTGTTTCGGGATCCCGGGATCCCGGGATCCCGGTCTTGTCACTAAAGGTCGTAAGAATGATTTCCTACTGACATATTTTGCGTCTTTTAGCTTACCACAAACAAAGAGGCAACCAAAAGCCATCCTTAGACCATGTCATTTGCATTAAAGACGATTGAATTTGCGAAGGAAACGTTTCAATTTGATTAGCATTCATTCCCAATTGGTCTGAATAAAACTGTGCGTCGACCAGTGCGTTTACTATCTCGTCATAAAGACGAGTTCCAGCACATCCAGGCCACACTACCTCTTCGTGTACGCTACTCGTAGTTAGCGCGACAGTTTTAAGCCATTGCTGGTAGGTCTGTCTATTTTAAAACTCGCGACCAGTGTACGCCAAATTTGGCAGCTCCCTATTTCACAATATTTTCAAGACCACGCTTGGTCAATTCACCTCCTTCCGGTTCCGCTTTCATCACTAATGTCTCTCAGACTTTGCTCCAAAGTCGCTTTGAGGGCAGAGTCACTGACTGGGAGAGCTCCACTCTACCGTCTTCAACGTTTGAATCAGTGAGCTCTGCCGTCACTTGCATGACATCTGTGACATCTTTCTGCGACATGAGCTCAAAGACTGTCTTGATGATCTCTTTTGTTCCGGCCACGGACGGACAAGTCAGAATCACGTAACGATCCGTGACCCTGATAAAGATGTTGCAGCACTGATGCTGCAATTTTTTTTGGCGTTCGGGACCCTTTTTCGTACACATTTGAGCGGCTTATTCGCTGTGGGTGATACGCGGAAGCTACCAGCACGGTCGATTGTGGAAGGCCGATCGGGGTGCCAGCTAAATACGCCCGGTTATATATAACAAGATATAACCGGTTTTTCCGCGACACTACGAGCGTCTTCTCTGGGGCGGCCCCGGAGCCGGGCCGGCCTCGGCGAGCAGCGTTCGGCGGCAGGCGGGCGGCCGCCCGCGCCCCGGGCGGCAAGGCCGCTGAGGCGGCGGCCTCCTCTGATTGGTGGAGCGACTCGTGTCACGTGACGGTGGTGGCGCGGGATTTGAGTGTATATGCGCGGTCACTCTGTTCTAGGCCGCCCGGTCTGACGCAAGTCAGCAGTGTTCTCGCTCTGAAATGTTTTTGCGTTTACTGCGGTCGTGTTCAGTGGAAACTGGAAGACATCAAGGGGAGTATAAGTTCGGTTTTATATCAATGTTATATTGATTGACGAGGATGTTTTTCCTTTCGGGTTTTTTATGTTTATTTTTACTGGTTTGTTGTTTGTTAGTTGTTTGTTTTTATTTTCGGCATGAGGTTTGGTTATTTTTGTGCTTATGTTATGCTATCGAGGTAAGAAAGGGGTCGATGAGCAATGGGTCGGCAAATGCCTGGTATTATAGGTTCTTTGAAGGTTGGATAAAAGAATGAAAAATGGACTGCTGGTAGAAATTTGCTTGGTGGCGTTTTTCAGTTTTTGGGAGATTGGGTGTAGGTTCTTGCTATGTGTAACATAGCTGAATTTTTTTTTTCTTCCCTGGAACGGAACGCCGGACTTTGCCATCCTACACTCCGTGTGAGTGAAATCAGCTCATGCTTCTCGGTACGGTGTAGCAGCTCAGAGTGCACGGCCTGGCCGGCGTGGGGTTTTGGTGGCCACGTGGTGTTGGCCGGTGGTTGGAGTTGGCAGAATTGCCGTTTGGTGGTGCCTGGTGTTGGTTGAACTGTGGTTCCCATACACGTGAACGGTTACAGGCGTAAGGTGTGCCAGGTGGGCGTACCCCGTGGAGGTACGCCCAGGTGGGCCAGGTGGGCCTGGCCGGCGTAGGGTTTGGTGGCCACGTGGTGTTGGCCGGTGGTTGTGCAGAGAGTTGGTAGAATTGCCGTTTGGTGGTGCCTGGTGTTGGTTGAACTGTGGTTCCCATACAGGTGAACGGTTACTGGCGTAAGGTGTGCCAGGTGGGCGTACCCCGTGGAGAATGAGCTGCTGGTGATGTTTGGCTCTGTCCGAGCGTGTCCGAGCGGGGTTTTCATTAGTGGGTTAGGGATTGTTGATAATAAGGGTACCAACTACCAGGTGAGACTTGAGAGGGTAAATGGAGTTCATGCTAATGATACCCAATGCAATGGTATTGGTCTAAAATGGTATTGTTACCTGGTTAGGTTGGAGTGAAAGGTTAAGTGGGTGATATAGGTACGGAGGTGCAGAGGTGATAGTGGAAACCACTTGTGTGGTAAGTCTCGGGAGTCGGGACTAGGATATTTTAGATTAGATGGGAAATTATGTTAGGTAGTTTGGTTGCACTGGCGATAATATAGTAAGTTACAGGATAGTACCCAAAGGAAGTTTTCACCCTCATATTTAAAGACTGCATTAGGTATGCCATTTTCTATAACGATGCAGTTTTATGGTAGCCCCTGATTGTTTTGCTCTCACTCTACATTGAGGTGCGAGTTAACTGTTTTCAGTTTTTTTATGGTAGTGGCGTTTGTGAATCGTTTTTTTTTTTTGCCAGAGTAAGGTGCCTTTTTGTCGTGGTCAATAAATAGAGCATTGCCTAGGCATGCATAAGCGACATCAATCATCATGGTAATGTTGGTATGCAATATGCATATCCTGCCGATGTGTCATCGCGCGCATTGTCAGATAAATGGCTCCAGTATGTATAACCCCTCTTGATACCCCCCTTTGATACGAGCTTTCGGCTAAAAATGGTTATGTGACACAATCCGTTTTTTTTCTTCCATGGCTCGGTGGGTGGTTGGCATCCGACTCTGAACGGCGACGGATCGGCACACTCGGCGGGGCCGGCCCGCTGGGCCAGAGTCTTCTCTGGCCGCTGGAGGATTTCTTCACAGCTCCCACGTCAGCTGAGGGAGTTCCGTGACCCCTCCCAGCTCATCTAGCTCCAGTGGTGCTGCCCGTGCTGCCTAGCAGGTCTTACGGGACATCGTCAGGTATAGGCCAAGGTGGCCGGGGTTTTGAAAGGTACGTTGTTCCATGTATGCCGGGCCCGGTACATATCTGTTAATGGAGGTTCTAGGGGGACCCGATAGGGTAGATAGTGAACGCTTGGGCATGGGCGATATCGGCATTTTTGTGGGGATATTTGGTTCCACCAATAGGAACATGAGGGGCAATGCTGTTGGAAAGTGAGATAGTAATAAAATTCTGATAAAATCGTTACGAGGCCTGAAGGTATTTAAAAAATGAAATCTAGTCAACTCTAAGTTCAACGTGTTTTCAACCTTGGTTTGCTGCTGCTGCTGAGGCTTGTTAAATCGTCTATAACTATATTCAAAGCAGTCTGTTTCTTTGATTTTTTTTCTACTTGTCGCTATAGGATATGGGATGACCTTTCTCCTGCAAACAGCAAATGAACAATACAGGTCAGGTGCTATCAATAATAGTTAAAAAGGATTTAGTCAGTATACGTTGTTAGGACTGGGGTACCCCTCGGTGTCCCAAAATTGTATTTTGGCTGGGGTGTCGGAGGAAAATTCCTGGGGGCCCGGGAACGATTTTCAAGTTGAGGGGGGGGGGAGGCGAGCCCAAAATGCCTGACTTGATGCATATGAAACAGTGGCGTAGCTAGGGGTCTAAGGGAACACGCACCCCCCCCCCCCCCAATCGGGTTCACAGGGACCCTCGGGTCCAGGGGGCCCTGCGGCACCATTTGACCTGAGGCTTAACGATGGCCATATTTCGACTCGGGAGGGCCCCATTCGGCTCGTTAGAGCACCTCATGGGCCCTAAATTGCCACACTAAGATCTCCTTAAAGCCCCACGCCGGCTTCTGAGTCATGGTCCCACAATTATTTTTCTGAGGGCCCAATAACGGCAACTGTGGGGGCCCTCATCGGCGCTTATGGGGACCCACACCGGTGTCTCTGAGGGTTTCACGCCTCCAACTCTGAGTGCCTACACCAGTGCCTATTAAAACCCTATATCGGCGGCTCTGAGAGTGAGGACTCGAATCCCTACCCAACACCTGCGCAGTGCGCATCTAGGGACCACCCACTAGTGACTTCTGAGGGCCCCACACCGGTGACAGGGGCCTCTTGCCGGTCACTGAGAACCCCCTGCCGGCTTGTAGAGGGTTCGCGTCAGCAGCTCAGGCCCCACACCAGTCTGTAACTGCTCCACACCAGCGTCTATGAGGGCCCACAGCAACGCCTGTAGGACCCTCACCGGCGCCTCTGAGAGAGTCACACTGGTGCCTCTGAGCGCCCGCACCGGCACCTGCATGACAGTCCCACACCGGTGCCTCTACGGGCCCCTTACCGGCGGCTCTAAGGGCCCTACGCCGGTGATTCTGAGGATGCTACCGATAACCGGAGGCACCATACAGGCCCAAGGTGTCGCTGAGCTTTAATCCCATACCGGCCTTCCGTGGGTGCCACGTCAGTGCACTCGTTGCCCCACACCCCTCCCTCACACCCGGGGCGGGTAAACTGTGTTATACCTATAGCAACGATTTTACCACCGTTGTACGTTATGTATTTCTCAAGGTTGGCTCAAAATGGTCCAGTATATGTATGTAAAAGCTGGCCTGCCAAACTATGGCCAGGGTCAGGCCCAAATCAAAGTGGGATGACAATAGCAGAAATCAAATCGATACTGTACCGGCAGAAACCCTTCAGATGGCAAGGAAAGGCCGTGTCCTGATAGGATATATAAAGGAAACAAGAAGGAAAGAAGTCCGGAAAAGGGAGGAAAGGTCCTTTCTCGCTGCCTCAATGTTGAGGGGGCGACGCCCCCACGGCTCTCAAGTTGGGGGGGGGGGGCAAGCACCCCCGCTGCCCCCCCCTGTTCCCGGGTCTATGAAAATTTCTCACCAAAAAGGGATAAGAGTGGAAAATTGATGGTCAAATAAGGCCTAACAAGAATGAAAAAGGATGCGCGGCAAAATTTCATAAAAGGCTGGTATAATGTGGGAAGCTATCCATCCATGCAAATGCTTTTTCTGGGTAAAAATGGGAGTGGAAAATGGGCTATTAAAATTGGAGGCGAGTGAACAGTGATTTTCATTTGGGTGACGTTTCCCACCTAAATCAACAAATTTTTGGGCACTGGTACCCCTCGCCAGCATCAGGGTTGACGTCACTCACTCAGTACTAACTGAGTGTTGAGCTGTCCGGACGGTCGCAGCTCGGTTGTGGCCGCCTTGGCCGTGTTTTTTGGTGATCTAGTGCAACCGTCGCAGAGCAAAGGGAGTATGAAATTCAGTTTTTTTTTTGTGGGTTCTTTCGCTAAGAAGTATTTTTCAATTATTAATGTGTGTTCTGTATGCAATATTGCTTTTGCAAGGACGTTTATTCTTTTTTATACTTTGACATGGCTGATAAAGTTCGTATGCAATTTGTTAATAATGGAGGGGTTGGTGGGATGCCTAACTGGTCCGGGTGTATGGTTAGTAAGAGGTGGAAAGTGGGCTAGTTGCGGAGTTATTTGGAGTGGTTTATGGCTGGGTATGGTTTATTTCCAGTTAAAATATTAATTTGTTTTGGGAGGGGTAGGTTAAAAAAAACTCATCGGTTACAACTCTTCATTTACAAACTAGGGGTCTTATTGTTTTCTTCTCTTAGATCGCTGGACTTAGCCGTTCCACACTCTGTATGGGTGAATTCAGCTCATTTTTTCACGGGATAGCGGCTCCAAGTGCAGAACCTGGCCGGGTTACGTGTTGGGTGGCCACTAATGTGGGCCAGTGCGGTTCACCAATGGGGTGGTGATGGTGTTGTGAGCGGTGGTTGAATTTGTAGAGTTGTCCGGTTATGCCTGGCTATGGTTGAACCTTGGTTCCCATGCAGGTAAACGGCTACTGGCATAAGGTTTGCCATGGTGAGCGCACCCCGTGAATGGCGGGCTCAGCTATAGTGGCGTGGCGCTGTCGGAGCGATGAGTTTTATTAGTAGTTTATGGCGCTTCACTGATCAACGCCAATTGCGCTTAGGTTATTTGGGTAAATGGGGGTTAGGTATAAAAAATGTAGGTATATGAAATAAAAAAAACTAAAAGAATTATAAAGTAAAAATAAAAACAAACAAACAATATAAAAAACAATTTATTGGTGGCGCTTCACTGGTCAACACCAAATGTTGCCCAGGATATTTAAGTAACTGGGGGGGGGGGGGGGGGGGGTTACGTATTGCTCCGGTAGGTAGGTACTTGATCACTTTAGATGGCATTTGTTATACCTTTTTGCTTTTGCTTAGAACGCTGGACATTGGCATTCTACACTCCGTTTGAGTGGATTCAGCTCATTCTTCCAAGGGGTAGCAGCTCCAAGCGCGCGACCTGGCCGGCTTAGGTGTTGAGTGGCCACTGAGGTGGGCCGGTGTTAACCGGTGGTGTTGGTGTTGAGGGTTGGGAGTTGAGTTTGTAGAGTTGTCGTTGGTTATGCCTGGCTATGGTTGAAACGTGGTTCCCATACAGGACAACTGATACTGGCGTAAGGGTTGGCGTAGTGAGCGTACCCCTTGGGAGGTGAGCTGTTTTTGTGATGTTGGCCTTTTTCCAAGCGTTATATATTTTTTATTAATTTATTCGGAGGCGCGCTGTCAGGGGTCGCGCGCGGTTGCTGCTCGCGCTGTCGGCGTCACCGGGGGTCATTGAGTGGTTGGAATTTTAATTTTACCATACGATGTTACGAGTAATTTCTAACATTTTTATGATAGCAACCTGGTTGTGTGTACTCAGGTTGTGTACTTTTGTCACTCAGGACCTGCCTATGATTGGTTGGTGGGTGAGTTACTGTACCTTCTATGGGTGACATTGAGGCAGCTCGGCGTTTGGAGGCAGTAAGCACCTCCAAAACGTGTCGAGCTAGGAAGCTACGGCAATTTTTACCCATATGGGCCTGTTTACAGCGTAGGGGCTGTCTGTATGCCGGTCTTTTGGTCCCTGATCAATCCGGAGCTTAGCGGGAAGGCAAGCTTGTTGCCCGTGGCGGGGGGATGCGGATACTATCAGATTTCAACAGCGGGTATTTTGGTATTCAGGTCGGGTAATTGCCCTAAACATTTGGAGAATCTTGGGATGCCCAATTCTACAAGTCCCGGGTGAGGCTCGCTAGTCTGCCCGGGGATATCCCCTTCTACAACGACCCCGAGGCAGCTCGCTAGTCTGCCCGGGGATATCCTCTCCTACAACGGCCTCGGGGCAGCTCGTTAGTCTGCCCGGGGGTGCCCCTTCTACAACGGCCTCGGGGCAGCTCGCTAGTCTGCCCGGGGGTGTCCCCTTCTACAAACCCGGGATAGCTCGCTAGTCTGCCCGGGGGTGTCCCCTTCACAACGGCCTCGGGGCAGCTCGCTAGTCTGCCCGGGGGTGTCCCCTTCTACAAAGGCATCGGGGCAGCTCGCTAGTCTGCCCGGGGGTGTCCCCTCCTACAACAGCCTCGGGTGTAGCTCGCTAGTCGCAAGTCTGCCCGTGGTAGTCCCCTTCTTCAACGGCCTCTGGGCAGCTTTCTAGTTTGCCGGGGATGTGCTTTTCTACAACGGCCTCGGGGCGGCTTGCTCGTCTGCTCGTTGGTGGCTGCCGCCAGGACGCCGGTATGCGCAGGCGTCATTCCGGCGGCTTTGAATGTGGATGCCGGCGGGCGCTGAGAGCTCTCCCCTTTTGCTGGTCGGCTATCTATGACCTGAATACCTATAGTTTCGTGGTCACTGTTTTAACCTTTGCAAAGTTTTAGGTAACATTCATGGTCGTTATCATTGCCACGCATATCACAGGGATTAAGGGACACGTAACAGTAGCTGTGGCCTCTGTTGTCAGTTGCCTAACAACCATTGGGTTACCATGTTTTTTTTGGGGGGGGGACGGCGCTAAAATAATAACAATAATAACAATAATAATAACAATAATAAAAACAATAAAAACA